GGGCCTCTTCTCGTGTTTTTAATGCGAGTATTTTACTGCAGGAAATTGGTGATGCAAGTTTTAACGCGTTATGCAATCGCCAGCGGTTTTAACATCACAGCGGCAGTGAGGGGAGAAGAGGGAAAAAAAAAAAAAGAGGAGGAGAAAGGGAGCGAGCTTGAATGTCGCGACGTATGAATCACGGAGGAGTCGAGCAATAATTCCAAACATTTGGCGGGCGGGTGCAGCAGCGTCTCGCACGGAACAACACTGAATTAGGTTTATTTTGGTAACAATATTAGACAGCCTCATTAAGACGCCGTCATTATGTCCAACTACATTTATTTTTAGTCTGCTTCACATGGAGTTACGAAGTACAACTTGAAGTAGGACATAAATGAGCTCAATGACCTTGAGACGGCCCCCGATGCGGACCTTTCTTCACCCCTCACTCGTCTTTGAATGTGGAGAATGGGTGATAAATAAAATTTATTCGTTATTATGACTAGTCGCAATACAAAATGACGCCTCGTGGTGTCATTTTATCGTCACTCGATGAATCAGCCGGGCGATATAATTGTGTTGTAGGTGACAAAAATCAGAAATTTTTTGAAACACGTAATTAACACAGTATGACGCTGGTGTCAAACCCGAGGCGCGGGGGCCAGATCTGGCCCGCCACATCATTTGATGTGGCCCGCGAAAGCAAATCAAACATGTCAACTTTCATGATGCTTGCTAAAATCTGTACCGAAATTTCAAATTCTCATTTGTAATAAAGAAGCGTGATACTGTCAGCATTTTCTTGTTACCAAACCCCTCACGTACAGGAACTTAAACAATTTGGTGAATAAACCGTTATTCTTGACTTCTTTATGTTTTCAGTCATAACGGCCCTCCCAAGAGAAACTGTAGCTAAAATCAAGCCCGCGACAAAAATGATATGACATAAGAAAAAAAATCTGTTGTAAATTTAAATAACAATTGTAATTGTAAATAAAAGTACACAACGTTGCGAACCAAAACAGCAGCATGTACAGAAGTCGCTCTCCAGAACCCTTCCTTCATTATCTTGAAACAGTTCCAAGTTGACTCGAAGCGCGCGTGGCCTCGTCAGGCACGAGTGCCACCAGAACACATGCTTGTGCCATTTTAACTCCCCGCTTACACGCTTTGTTTTGCCAACACGGCTCCTCGCGTCCGCCAAAAGCTGTCAGACGTCGTTTAGCGTCCGGGCCCAGTCTCGGCGGACACTACGGGCTTCGCGGGAAGTAGTGGGGAGTGCAAGGAGTGGCGCTGGGTCGGGGGTGGGGGTGGGGGTTTCTCCATACAATTGACTTAAAGTGTGCGTCTGCGTGTGTGACCTACATTCACTTTACTGCCGAGACGTTTGTTTAGCCTTGTGGGCAAACACGCATTTGAGAGAGGAGAGGCGCATACAGTCAGTCACTATGCTTCAATACATCAGCGCCACCGCAGCGGCGCACGTATGGTGCCCTCTAGTGGCGGAGGGCATACGGCGCCCCGCAACAGAGGCCGTGCCAGGTCTCAGCGGCAAAGCTAAGGGGTGGCAACAGATGGCTCGTGGGCCCGATAGTGGACCCTGATGTTCATGGGTTGAGGTCATCGAGGGGCGTCAAATTATCTTGGGGCTTTTATTTTGAGAATGATTTTCATCTTGAAAGGCAAGGACCAGTAAAGGAAATGGTTTGAAAATTGAAGTCCCAACATCACATTCGGAAAACAAAAATCACTTTATTTTGGAAGACAGGGATTGAAAAACAAACATTTTAAACAAAATTCATTTCCTCGAGCTGATTTCAGTGTAGCAAATCCTTAAATGTATAAATCAACGACCAAAACGTTAAAATTTGTCGCTGCTAGCATTTGAAAGTTGAATGATTTCAAAATAAAAGTACCAACATTATCAGATTTGTTTTATTTTTTTTAATTATTATTTTGAAAGTTGAGAACCAGAAACAACTTTTGCTAGTATTATATTTCAATCATTGACTTGTGACCCCCCTCCAAAAAAAAATCCCAACATCAACTCTACATTGTCTGTTTTGTTTAAAATAAATTGATGCATTCCATCAAAACTGTTTTGGAACTGCAAAAAAAAAAAAAAAAAGACAACTCAGGAACCGCTGCTTCAATGCACGTGTCGTCTGTCAAAATTGGCAAAGCATCACCGGCTGGGGGTGGTGACCGAAGGTGAGGGTGTCAGCATCACAGAATTTTTTGTTTTTTGGGGGGCGGGGGGGTGTGTAGAGTTTCGAGTACTGTTCTCATTACGCCGGGCCGCAGGAAGTGAAATCACATGCTCCAGTTAAGCCAAACAAGGGTAAGGTATTCATTCCCACAAGAAGAGAGCCAAGAGGCAGGGAAGGATGCGGATCAAGTACCGTTCTAACGTTGCAGATGTATTTTACCCCCCCCCCACCGATGTGCATTGGTGCCTGCGAGGTAAATAAAGCTGGCAGGCTCGCGGCATCCAGCTCATTAAAAAGCTTTTTTATCCATTTCCAACGAGCGCGCGGCAAGACTGCGGCGTGGACATTGTTTACACACAAACGCCGCCCCGGGAGTCGTGTTGATTTCTACGAGCGTCTCGCTTTTCATGAACTCCTTGAGCCACTCCAGGAGAGTGTACAAGCCACGCGGCCGCAATGCCGCCGGTCCAAAACATGAAAGTCTGGCATCTGGCAAATTGCGGGGCCCCAGGATGGCGTGACCGCAATCCCCAATCCCGCACTAAAAATAACATCCGGCCGCCAGGTGTACACAATTGGCAAGTGGAAAATTCAAAGCTTTGTAATGCACTGAAATACTTTTTTTTTTTTTGGAGCAGAGATGCAATGCTAACTCATTGACTAAAAATATGAATTTGTTGAGTCGATAAACCCCAGCAAAAGTTTGACAAATTAATTCAATTTCTCTTTTGTTGTACTGTGTCGCTTTTGCATTGAGATCTTCAATACATTCGGGTTAACTCAAAAGATCGTGTCCTCAATGTGTCGGTGACCTGACACACTAGCCTACGACCCCCGCGTGAGCTACGTCGGGGTGCTGATTAGCACGCAGACGTAGAATGTCAGCGCACACGCCGGCGACCGCCCCGCGTGGTTTTTGCCTCGCCCCGGCGCTCGGGGCCCGACAGCGCGTGACTCTGCGCCGTGTTGGCCACACACCCACGACCGTGTTTGGAAACACTGAGGCGATGGGGCGGAGGGGGATGGCAAATTTTGAAGGCAACTGAAGCATGTGCGCTTTAGCCTGGCCGAGCGCGCAAAACGGCTACGGCGGAGAACAGATCCAGGAAAAAGGGAAGGCTGCGGTACTTGTATCATCTTTCCACAGTGACATGATGAAAGATCCATTTATACATTGAAACCTTGCAACAAAACAACAACAAAAACATTTCTTACGTACTTTAAATAGTAAATTAAAATAGTGCTCTGGAATATTGTGCTGTGTAGAAACTAGGGCTTGACTTTTTTTTTTTTTTTTTTTTAAGGACACATTTTAAAATTTATTTTTTTATTTTATAAAAACCAAATATTTGGCAGAATAAAATTCGGATAACCAATTAATTTTAAAAATATATAATGAATAAAATAACTTTTTTTGGTCCCCTAATGATTACGACAATGAAGATATGAATTACTGAATGGTCAATTTATAAAGGGCGGGTCTTGGTCCCTAACCACCACAAATAGCCAATAGTTGACTGACTGTCGGCGAATAACAAAAGCAAAGGAGATTCCGCCGAAGCGACAGAAGCGATTCAACCCCGCCGCCACAATATCCCCAAACACACTCACACA